TATTCTTCTTCCAGCACGTTTTTCTTCAAAGAAAGAGAAAAAAAAAAGGTTTTGCACAAGAGCCTCTCCATTCTACTACTTGCCAGGTTAAAAATATCTTTTACTTAATCATTTAGGGTTTTTTACTGTGATCTTCTCTTTTCCAAGTATTCATTTGGAGTTATAGTTAGTTGTAGTCTCCATAGTCTCCCTGGTTTGACACAATTTGGAGGATTTTTGGCTTCTAACCTCCTATGAGGGTGTTAAGCCTAAACTGCTATTAGAGTGGCTGACTGACCCCTTGATTTAGGCTCTGTGCATGGCTCAGAAGCAGGAGTGTTTTCTGTGTTCTCTGACTAGGTGCTTCATGAAGCATTTATTAAATTTGTCTGGAAACTTGATCTTTACATCAGTCCCAAATGCGACACTCATCCTGTGTCTGTGAGGGTAGTGGAAGTCAGTAGTACTGCTTTCTGGCCTTGTTCCTCGGAATTTCACAGCTTGTCTTTGCCATATTTATTCAAACAAAAACCTTAGGAAACTGCCTTTAAAAATCTTACATTTAAAAAAAAAAAATAAAATTTGTAAAATCAGATACCAGATCTCAGAAGGCCCATTACTTACCCTCGCTTGGGCAGCTTTACTAGGTCACCTCAGTAGCAATTTCCAACTTGGACAGCTATCGTGTTTTCACATGAAGTAATAAAAATGCATATACTTTTCTAGCTGTGTATTCAATAAGCATGGAAGAGCATTAGCCCTAGTTGGGACTGAATGTATCAGTCCCAACTGATGAATGGGTGTGTTTTGCACACAGCCAGTTCTTACTGCCTGTTTCCTATGCCCAATTCTTACTGTTTTCATTCACTTCAGAACTCCAAGAATTAAATAGGAAGGCGAATCCAGAAACTTTGTTTCTTATCTTGTCACCTGCAATTCTTTATTCCTGCAAACATATGGTTTTTTCCTTTTCCTCCTGCAAGTCCTTGTCTCTTTCTTTTCTGAGCCCAAATGAATGCCTGTAGTCGTGATCATGTTAAGTGTTTTCCACACACACTTCCTTCGTATACATAGTGTGGGTGTTGCTTAATGCAGTAATCTTTTGTTCGGCAGCAGTTCCATGCAGCTTTAATATTCACTTGTAAAACCTGTAATTTCTTTTAAACTTATATATTTCAAATGAATATTGTGTCTTCATTATTGCTTCCTGTCTGAGAAGCTGCTTTCAGTTCCCTTTTATCCTATTCTTCATTAGTTCCCACTGCTTAAAGGCTTGGAAGCGTCTGGCCTGTGTATGTGTAAAAAATGGTATTTTGTGCATTGCAACAGAAATGTCTTCTATGACTGACCCATATAACTGTGCAAACAAAGTAAGATCTGTGCTTAAAATTTCCTCCCGGACGAACTTTCTGTTAGGAATTAGTTGCCTTTTTGTCGGTTTGATTGTTAAATTTCAAAGTTAATGGGGAAGAGTTGTATCCTCGGACAGTGTTGTTTAGTATTCTTTTTAGAACTGAAATAGTCCTCTTTGCAGCATTTCTTCTTTCCTGCAAAAACCTAAGAGAAACCGTAAAAGTGCCAGCCTCTGCTGAAAAGTAGTAAATTACTTTTATATTCTATAAATTTCTTTTATATATCTGCTGTATTCTTTGCAGCTGACAATTTATGTATTTGTTTCCACTTTTTTTTGTCCCTAATTGTGCACATGTACAGGGAGGTAAGGGAAGATACTGTGCACTGGTAGGTGCAGGTGGATAGATCAGGGACAAAAATTTTAAGCAAAACTTGTATTTTTAGAGAAGATAATACGTTTTTGAGCAAGAGTTAGTTTCTGCGTGTGTAGAAGGGAATTTATTCACAAATATGTGGAGGTGGATGCTGTAGATAACTAGCATTATACAGGCCTATGTGATTAATTCTCATTGCAGTTGATAATGTGCCTTACAGAAAAACAAGGAAGCTTTTGTGGGGGATGACATGCAGACAAAGTGACAGCTTCGTGTCCATCGTTTTTATATTGAAATTTTTGGAATGGACCTTAGGAAATCAAAGGGCATCACATCAGCTCATATGTGAAGTTCTTGAAGTTCTGGTAGACTTCACTGGCTTGTATGTATGCACCTTGTACGCAGCGGCTGGTGAAGCCTGTGTTAGTTGTTACAAAAGACACAGGAGGTATCGTACAATGAATGTTACTCTCCCCTGGTTTTTTTTGTATTCAAGACAATTGAAAAGTATCATTTTTTAGCAGAGCTGGAAAATAAAAGCTTCTACTGACAACATTTCCAATTGCAGTAGTTTCATGTGGGAGGAATACACCTCAAGAGATATTCTAACTAAATACATGCTAAAGAGCAAAGGTGATCAGTTGTAGACCACCACTTAGCCTGTTTATGCTTGCCAAGTGTTTCTCCTCATAGTTGTCACTTGCATTGACAGAAGGAGTTTGTGTTATCCATCCTGGTTCCAAAACCTGCTTTGGACTTACAAGATTCCTCTATATGTTTTGAAGGAGTTGATGTATTAGCCACACAGCTCAGCATTATCCTTTTGCCCAACCTTTCAGCCAGGCCTACAAAGTAAAGCAAAGGAAAATTACTGCAAGTGATGGAAACGCTGAGAAGTTCTAAATTTGATCTTCCAAACACACAACCATCGTCTCTTTCACCTTTTCCCTACAACTAGAGATCCAACCCCCAGACGTAATTTTAATTAGCTCTCCTTCATTTGCATTTATAGGGCACGTGCTGGCACGTTGACAGTCGGAAGTAATAAATGAGTGGGAGCAAGTGGGAAATGGTGGCAAATAACAGCAGGAAGCAGCTCTTCCCACTGGCGCTCGGCTCCGCTAGAACAAACATTTTAACAAGGCTGCCTGCACTCCCCTGGGCTCGTGATGGTTGGATCAGAAGGGTTTTAATTTTGTCTTTAAAAAAAAAAAAAAAAACAGTATCTTCTCTAAGCAAATTGTTTTACATGTTGATTTGTGATTTGATTGCTGTAAAGTGGCTGAAGAAACAAAATGGGCATGATTTACGGCTTTCTATTGTAATAAATGTTCTGATCTAATGAACTTGGGAGCGAGAGGTGGAAGGGGCCGGATCAAAGCCCTGCTCCCATGGGCAGCAAATGGAACTGGAGCGGGATGAGGGAGCTTTGCCCGCTCCTACTGCAGCGCCCTGGGCGAGGGGGTTTCAGCCCATGTTAAAGCTGAGATGAGGATGAATCTGAGCCCAAGTGCCTGTTGCTTCTGCGTGTGTCAGCCCCTCGCTGGCGGTTGCATAGGGTGTTGCTGTGGGGATTAGGGTGAAACGTAGGCCTGGGCCCCTCGGCCTAGCGCAGCCGTCTGCACCTTTCTGAGGAGAGACCCCCTGATGCCTTGCTGCTTCAGTTTGCTCGCTTTGAGGCATTTATATCGGTTTAGCAACCTGCTTTTGCCAGTTCTTTTTAATACATAATTCTACTTGTCCATAAAACACTTTATCCTATTTTGCAATAATATTTTTACACTCTTCTAAAAAGAGGGAGTCCTAAATGAAAACCCTTTTTCATGATGTTCCATTTTTAGCCAGACAACATGTTATAATCTGGTGTTAGTCCTTTCCCGAATGCAGCTTGGCAGACTAAGCTGTGGTGTGGTAAAAGAGAAAACTTGCTTCATGGTTTGCCCTTGTTGAAATGCACCCATTTTAATGAAAGCATTGGCCTGTAGCCTGTCCTTGTTTGGAAGCAGTCCCAGGGATACCAAAGAATGTACCTAGTGCTGCTGTCAGGGAGGTTATTGAGCACCGGGCTCCCTTTTCCCTCCTCCTGCTTTCTGAAAAGTAACTGCGATTAAATGGCACCTCATCTAGCCTGGCTACTCACCAAGGTTCTTGCATTATTACTGCCTGTATTGGGTTGAGAGCAAAGTCTCTGACTTTGGGGAGATGCCAGGATGCTTCTCTCAGTCATTTTCTTATGCCTGGAAACTCTGCTTCCTCACTCCCGTTCTGCTTGTGTTCCAAAGTGACAGGGGCTTCGGAGCTCAATTTGGGTTTGCATCTTCCTTTCTAGCTATAATTCTCATCTGTTTAGTAACTGATAATATGAATCAGAGGTAAATCATCCTTTTCTTGAACTTTACCCAAGTTAGAGTGTATAAGTTTTGTTGTTTTACTTTTTAAAGTTATTCACAGATCATTTTGAAATGTAAAAGTCATCCCATAAAGAGTAGCAACTATGACATTTATCAGCTATTCCATCAACCTTGCTCCTCATTCATAAATGGTACAAAGCATGAACTTATTTACCAACACTGGTTGTCAAATAAAGGGCTGAAACTCTTCCTTTATGATTGGCCAGGAGAGCAATAAGATGCTTTTGAGGTATAAAATTGCTTAGATCTACGTATCTGTAAGAGCAGATACAAAGGGTAGAAAATGAAGCATTGAGCTGGATAGAAGATAATGAGCTTTATAAAGGTATAATCATATTTGGCTTCTGTGTACTCCAGAAATTGGAGAGTTGAGCCTGTTTTGTCAAGTGTACTGGATATGTTTTAATGATTTGTTAGTCAAAACTCTTCAAAGGCTGCATCATAGAATAATCAGGCTCCTTGCTGCAAGAATAAAGTACCCTTTTTAAGGTACTGCCAGGAATAAGAGTAATAATAGTCCCACAGTTGAACCATCTCACATGTTCTCTTGGTGTTCATATTTACCGTAATGATTTTTTCTTTCTATTGAGAAATTCATCCTATGGAAATAATGAGAAAATGCTGACTGTGCATAACGTCCTGTGGCAAGTGCGAAATAGTAAGTAGCAGGAAATACACTGAAGTAGGAAATTAAGGTTGAGTCTAAATATTATAATTAATTAATGCATAGCAGTTCTTACAAAACACTCATGTTGTATGTTTAATATATGTCTTTTTTTATATGTCCTTTGGATTTTCAGCCAAAATTAAACATTTCAACAATTTATAAAGTAATTCTGAATGTTTCTAGTAAACAGCTTTCTTTATTAAAATTACCTTTTAGAAGCCATGAAGGAAGAACCTGAAGTACTCTTTGAAGAACTGCTTGAGAGGGCCAAAGCTGGAGAACCAAAAGCACAAACTGAGGTCTGTGTTGCTTTTATTTTATTCCTAATTCAAAAACAAACAAACAAACAAAAAAAACCCTTCCTGCTTCTGGTAGGACTGTGATCTCTTTCAGAGGTTCTTATTTGAACTATATCTTTTTGATCTTAATTTAGATAAAAAAGATAAATAAAAGGGATGCCAAATGGTCTCTCTGCATCAAGAAATGCTGCTTCCTTGGGAAAGTTACTGGTTTCATGTCCAACTCTTGCTTAAGCCTTTAGGGTACAGATCAGAATGGGATTGGGGGGGATGTTTGAGCTGAAAGCATGGAGAAGACGTGGTGCTTTGCTTTCTTAAGGAGACACCAAAGACCACTGCACTTATGAAGGTCTGTACAGTGACTACTGTACACTGCTCAGATGTAATTTTCCCTTTGGAACAACATTATTCCTGATCTAAATGAAAGATGAACCAGGGCTTGGTTCAGCACTCCACTGCCTTCAAAGGTATCAGGGTTCTTAAGCTGGCCTCTGTGGAAGCAAAAATACAATTATGAAGTGCATTAGCAGAGATATCAAAGGGGACAAGATTGATGTTTCGTTGTTACACTGTTTGGGTTAAATTAACGCGTTTTGCACAAGAAGCCACTCCTGCTTTCTTCAAACTTACTACTACGTGGCTGTGTACGGGCACATGTGTTTGAAGTGGCAGTGACAGCCCTAGCCCTGTGCGTGTTTAGGCTTCCCTTCTATTTTGGAATAGTTGTATCTATTTCCTCATCCATCTCACTAGGATGGTATGTGGGTCTAACAAACTTAGTACAAAGACTTAAAATTGTTTAAAGGAGTTTTAATTCCCTTTTTGTCTGGTTAGTGAATCACTTAAACATCCTGTCCCATCTCTGTCAAGAGAAAGAAGTGGTTTTTATCTCCCACCTTTATTTTGCTGAGATTTTTTATATGCAGAGACCACCACTTTTAGGCAAACATTAATGGTGTGTGTGGGGAAGAAACCCTTTTAAAGCTGGTAAAAATAAAACAGTGCCAGGCTCACTGGTCATTATACCTCAGTCTGCTTGAAGGGCAGTAGCAAATTCCTCACATCTGAAACAGCCAACAGCTTTGGGAAGAATGAAGCTTTGGTCTTGGGGCAGTTGCTGCTAGATGATCCACATTTTGGCCCTTTTCCTCCACAACACAGCAAAACCCACAAAAATCCTTTCAGGATAAACTTTCCAGTCATGTAGAAATACTTCAGCTAATCTAAGCTTGTGACTTGTGTGTCCATATATATAAAAATAATTATTTTCTATCTTTATCCTCAGTTCATTCCACCCTTCCTGTTAGCTCTTTAACAGTGTACACTTTCCATTCCCACACAGAGACAGGATTCTTGTCCACAAAAGGTCCAACATAGAACTTTGCTTCAGCATTTGTTCCGGACAAAGACTGCATGAAAAGGAATAAGGAACTCAATACAGTTTGTTTTTAGGAAATTGAATTTTTAATAGTCAAAATTGTCTTTATTAAAAAAAAAAACTAAAAAGCTTTAAAAATGATTTTTTATTGTTGGATCTTTCCCTTTAGAATCCATTCAGAAAAAAAAAATAGTTTGTTTTTTTGATTTCTTAACTTCAGTGGGAGTAAGAGTGAGAAGTTGGATGGCTTTGTTGCATAGTTTGTCAGTTCAGTGGCTTGCAGTTCTTACTATGAGGTTATTCAGAAATAACCTTGCAATGACTGTGGAAGTAAGTGCTCTCTGAGTGGCTGTCAACCTGTATTACCGTAGCTTTGTATAGTTTCTTTATTGAGAAATAACTGCACAGCAGTTATGTAAATGAGATGCCCACAGCTGGAAATCTATCCTGGAGAAAAGGCAGCTCCGTGTCGTTGACTAGAGGATCCCTGCAAGGGGACTGCTTGAGATGACTGCTGCTCTTAGCAGAGCCCAAGGTGAGCAGGAGGGAACAACCTTTTGAGAAGCACAATGTGAAGATCTAGGAAGTCAGTATCAGTTATGAGTTAAAACTTGGAAAGGAAATAGTTGGAATCCAAAAAGCGGTCTCTAGTTGATCCTTAAAGATGTCCGAGGATAACAGTCTTCATTCAATCACAGAGAGTTCCTCATTTGATCACTGGTGCTGGAGCTTTGCAGCCAGCGTGTGGTGGTTTTGGTTGGTCCTTGCTGTGACAGCGCGGGGTTGCTCACTTACCTTGCATGAAAAGCCTATGTGTTTGGAGGGTTTTTTCCTCATCTAGTAGCCTTCTGCAATAGAGCTAATTCCTGAATCTCCTGGTTTATGTTGCAACATGAGTGTGACCAAGAGGTCACGCTGTTTTTGTAAACTTGAAGGAGCTGCATCATTAACTATTGAGCTTTATTTTGAGCTTTGCTCAGAATTTCAGTAGCCATAAATATAAACATGCTGAAGAAGCGGCTCTACTTGTCAGAGGATGTTGTTTGCTGTTCAACTGCTTTAAGCATTTCCTTCCTTAAATAAGTATCTAAAGGTACATCTGCAGTTTGCTAACAAATCCTGGGAAATGGAAATATCAAGGCTGAAATTTTAACTTTTTTTTTCTTTATCTCTTACATATCTGCTGTTATATATATATGTGTGATTCTGCGTTGTTGAAGCCTGGAATGATTTTGTGGTTGTGTTATTTCTGTCTTGTAGTTTACTTAGTTTGAATTTTGTTTTTATTTCTGTGTGCTTTGGATAGCTTTACTACATGTTCTAAGTATTTAATGCCTATGATGTCTACCCAGTAACTACGTGTGCAGAAGTTGTTGAAGCATCCATGTTAGGTCTATGGATTCAGTTGAAAGGCTGCAGATGTAATTTTTAATGGAAATAAAATATCTTTTTGAGATCAGAGTGTTTAGTCTGCAGGTAAGAACTGTGGATTATTAATGTTTTAGAAATACTGCTTTAGTCCCCTTTATTGGTGGTATCATAAGCAAAGTTTTAGAGAGGCTGCCAGCTAGGAGTTGTGGAGCTTATAGTGGGTTTGTGAAGCTCTAAGATTGCATTAGTCACCCCTGAAACATAAGTGAAGCAACAGTACAAACAGAGGGAAAGCACCAGGAAAGTCAAAGCATTGCCCCGAGTCTCCAGATAGACAAATAACAAATAAAATGTCCAATAATTTTGCCTGCTATTTGATATTTTGTGTTTTGTCGTACTTTAAGCAAAATAAAGCTGACTTTTTTTTAACAGTGCAATAGCTAATTGCACCATAATATTTGTAACTTTAAATAGAAGAATTTTTACAGATTGCATCACTTACATTGCTTAAGTAGTATCGTTTTTATTCAGCTCACTAATCATGAGTGCAGCTAACGAAGGTCAAAGCAAACTGCTATGAGTAAATCATGTAGCTGCTTGAAGCTTCCATCCATGTCAGCATCCTTTCCAGATAGCTTGTTCCATCTGAATTTCTGAATGACACTGGCACCAGGTTATTGCACTCAAATATTCTGCAGTTCCCTCTTGCCTCCAGTTCTGGAAGCTGATCCTTGTCTGCAGAACGGTGGCAAGAGGATCATCTTACGGCTTATGTTCCTTGGCGCTGGGAACAAATGTTTTGACCTTTTGTTCGAGGGAATTTATTCTAACAGAGGGAGGGAGTGGGAAGGAGACTAAGACAACTGGAATCCATTTCAGTAATTGAAGGAATTCTGTTTTCCACTTATTCTAGGTTGGAAAACACTTCTTAAGATTAGCAGAAGAGGAGGATGAAGAACTTAACAATTGTAGTGCGGTAGATTGGCTCATCCTTGCTGCTAAGCAAGGTCGAAGAGAAGCTGTCAAGCTGTTGCGGAGATGCTTAGCAGACAGGAGAGGTAAGGCATCTCTGAGACCCTTTGCTTTGACTTCTGCTTAATTTGAAATAACACTATCCATTCTGACATTGAAAAGAGGCTAGAATTCAGTGGGAACGTTCATAGCAATGTTACATGAGCAGTTGCTGACAACATATTAAAAAAGGTACTTTAAAAAGGATTATTCTACTGATACTGCTGAGAAAGAAACATTGATCACTTCAGTTTCTTCATGGAATTAATGTTCATAGAATCATAGAATGCCCAAGGTTGGAAGGGACCTCAGAGGTCATCGAGTCCAACCCCCCTGCTCACGCAGGGTCACCTAGAGCACGCGGCACAGGGCTGCGTCCAAGGGGGTTTTAAAGATCTCCAAAGACGGAGCCTCCACAACCTCTCTGGGCAGCCTGTTCCAGTACTTTGTCACCCGCACAGTGAAGAAATGCTTCCTTAAGTTCCTGTGGAACTTCCGATGCTTCAGTTTGAAGCCATTTCCTCTAGTCCTATCCCTGCCCACCACTGAAAAGAGGCCGCCCCCCTCCTCCTCACTGCCTCCCTTGAGGTATTTATACACGCTGATCAGGTCCCCCCTCAGCCTCCTCTTCTCCAGGCTGAACAGGCCCAGCTCCCTCAGCCTTTGCTCATAGGGCAGATGTTCCAGGCCCCTGATCATCCTCGTAGCCCTGCGCTGGACTCTCTCCAGCAGCTCCACATCCCTCTTGTACTGGGGAGCCCAGAACTGGACGCAGTACTCCAGATGTGGCCTCACCAGGGCTGAGTAGAGGGGGATGATCACTTCCCTCGACCTGCTGGAGACGCTTTTCTTAATGCACCCCAGGATCCCGTTGGCCTTCTTGGCCACCAGGGCACACTGCTGCCTCATGGTCATCTTGTCATCCACCATGACACTGAGGTCCCTCTCTGCAGGGCTGCTTTCCAGTCCTGTCTTTTCCATGTTCATCTCTGTCTTTTCCCTTTCATTGTAACTTCCATGTTTTGAACACTAAGATCATATATAACCACACACCAGCTACATATCTGCTGTTTTTTTATTCTTTTGTCCCTCTCCAACCTCTCCCCTAATTGATCTTTTGCGTTGCCTTTTCCCCTTAAAGATTCACACCTTCCATCATGTTGCTTCCCACGCTTGGCATCGTCTCCTCCCCTCTGCCAAGTACCTGAACTCTTCTCAAAAAATAAAACCAAAAAATCCTTCACAAAATTCTTGCTATTTTTTATGTATCACTCATACGTATCTGCACTGCCTTTCGTGTGAACAGTTGTTCTTCAAAGGATGAAGAAGATGTGAGGATAATGCATGTCTTGCACAGTGTTTGAATTGAGATTTAATCAATGTAATTTCATTTTAATAAGCTGTGGACAGATGGCATTTGAGTGATTTACTTAGGTACTTGAATGAAACTTAAATGGTTCAGGTTAAAGTGAGAACAATAAATTGTGGGCAAGTCTTTCATTTCTGCCTGGGTGTGGGATAATAGTATCTAATGTGTTTTCCTTTCTTGAGGCATCACTTCTGAGAATGAGCAAGAAGTGAAAAAATTATCGTCTGAGACTGACTTGGAGAGAGCTGTGAGAAAAGCTGCCTTAGTCATGTATTGGAAATTAAACCCAAAGAAGAAGAAGCAATTAGCAGTTTCTGAGCTACTGGAAAATGTTGGTCAAGTTGACAATGAAGGTTTGTAATCCAATCTACTGGTATCAGATACACGTAGCTTAAATTTATATATGTAAATGTAAAAGGAGAATAGAGTTAGAAGCCTGAAGTTCTTTATAAATAAGCTGGCATGCGATGAAAGTAAATGTATGATCTAATTAAGAAAAATAACTCTTAATGACTTTAACTCCCTTTGAAATATTATGTTCTCTGGACTGATAGTGTATTTCATAAGGTCGTCTTGCTGTAGCTTTTGATTCAGTTAAGGACCATTGCAAGTGACCAAATATAAAAAATATCTCCATTTAGCACTTGATATCCTTACAAAATGATCTTTTATGGCTCTGCATCTTTTACCTTTTTTTTCCCCTTAATAATTATCCTAATAACTTTTCTAGATATTTCAGTTTGTAAACTCCTGGCTTGTTCTGACATTACAGCAATATATATATTAGCTATAAAAATGCTCTTCCCTTTTCTAGTATAGCAAGAGGACTCTAAAAAAAATCTGTCCACTTCTAACCTACTTCCACATATGTTTGTCTCTTCCCGAGTTTGAGGAAATAACCATTCTCGAGATACTGCAGCTTAACTAGCATTACAATTATTATTTGATTATTTTAATTGACTACTTTAACTCTCCATAAACGTCTTGTTATTGAACCAGATGGTGAGAAGCAGCCTGGCCCAGTCCCAAAGTCAGTACAGAAGCAGAGAAGAATGCTGGAGCGACTGGTGAGCTGTGAATGTAAGTGTGGGGACTGCTTTCATATCCCTGACATGGCTTTGCCTTTTCTATTTTGTTCTGCGAAGCAACTTTGTGCTGCCACTAAAGATGTAGAGCAAACTTATGGGTTGTAAAGGGATCTCTTCAATTTATATGAACAAGGTAAATAGTTGTTCTGCATATTAAGCCGTAGAGTAGATAAACATCATGTTCAACATGTCGGTAATGAGTATGCAAGAGGGGCTTGCATGTCATTTGCCATACTTATTTTCTTCCTTTACCCAACTCACAAACCAAAACTTTTTTTTGCACTTCCAGTGAGTTTTAATAAGTAAATCATAGTAAACTTTCTGATTCCAATACGGTAATCACTTATGCAACTTTTTAAAATAAAGAGGCCCCTCATTCTTTTTGCCTTGCTTCTGTTTGCAATACCAATTCTGTTTGCAATTGGCACTTGTCTTTTCGTATTTGCCCAAGAACTAATACAGGAAAGATGTACCAAGGTTCCCTTTTCATCACTCGGACAGAGATGGGATGTGGGGATAGCTCAGTTCTTGTTGGCAGAAGAAATAACCTATTCAGCCTACACAGGAGTAGATTCCTAGACTCCCATCAGTAGGGAGTTTTATGAGATACAGTTTTGTTGGAGTAAAGTTCTCTGCAGCCCTGCATGTCTAAGAGGCTGCCATGCAGCTGGGCCACATCATGGTTATTGTTTCTGTGTTTTATTTGTGCAGCCTCCTTTGCATTTGGGGGAAGGATCCGGTGGATGTAAACGGTACCGCCTGTGAGTGAGAGTGTAAATGAAAATCCTGTTTTTTGTGACAGCAGCACAGAAAACAAAATGAACAAGCTTGAAGCTGTAGATCACAACCATGAATAGTCTAAAAGATTGGGGGAAAGTCGTTGGGTCCACAGCTAGTTCTTAAATGGGAAATTATTGTCTTGTTTAGCAGACAGGGTCAAAGCAGAAGAATTCCATGTGAATATGAAAAAGGTGAAAATTCAAAATTGATTTGAAAATAGGAACAATGGTCTTCTCTCTGTTTTGACCAAAGTATTAAGCAAATATTAATCTTTTTGTCAGAATATTGAATCATTAATGTTTCAAGTGAGTAATAAAATAAAAAATTATGCTCACTAGAAATGAAAAGCCAAACACACTTACAAAGGAGTTTAGTTTTCTTTTTAAGGATTTCATCCAGAAGCCAAGTGACTGCTGTTAAACATCATCTTCTAGAGAGTAATGTCAAACAAGATATTGGACTGCATGGAGTTTTACCGTGGCTTGCCATGAATTTCTGTACTAATAATATGCTCAGTTGCTCAGACTGCATATGGTAACTACTTTTATAAATGAAGAAATGAAAACCGGGAAAATGCAGAGGCTTTAAGAGAGTGAATTACAAAAGATGCAGCATATGTACTTTTTGAAGAACATTATCTAACCTAAGGTTCAATTTATCACTTAGGATAAAAATTTTATTTTCTTAAAATGTGGTAATTCAAATGAAATTTCGCCCACTTCTTGAAAAGCATTTGTAAGTGTCCTGAAGCACATTACATCTGCAGTGTAGAGTGCATATAACTAAATTGTCATACATGGTTTACTAACCTAAATTTAAACTAGTAAACAGGTCTAAACTACTTAATATATTAGGCTTACATTTAATTAGATCAATTGACCTCTAGCTTCAAGGATCCTGTTTGTTACACGGGTAACTTCTGAATGAAGTTGTGCCACTTACGATGGAAAACAACATTCCTACGAGGGATAGAGTACTGTCCCAGCAGTAGAAAAGCCATGTCTGCATATGTGTGTGAGAGAAGTGTGTTTTGGAGCTGAAGCTACTGACCCACCGGAATTGCTCTGGTAATAGATTAGTTGTTTTTCACACTCGCTTGCCACTTCTGGAAAGCTCCTAGTAGTCCTGCAAGGGTAGGATCAGATTGTTGTGTTTTTGTCTTATTGCCTTGTCCTAGCACAGATGTATCCGAGTTCACTGGGGCCAAGTTGCTTTGGCACCTGGTGGATGACGCTAGAGTTCTTTCCATCCCTTAGCATGGATGGAAATGAATTGGCACATGCTGATGGAACAAGAGTGCAAAGCAAGACATTTTGTTCTGGAGTCTTCAGTAATTCAGAGAGTGTCAGTAAAGGAGACAGTATTTTTTTTTCTTTGAAGCTTAGATGGCAGATGAAATAACAGGAGAGTAAAAGAACCTACATGTAAGCGTAGGCAGAAATTGATGTGCATATTTTCTACGGTGGATGGGGGAGGCAGGGAATTTGTCATAACCAAATTGAAGAAAAAATCTATGAATAATAAAGTAAAATCTACAACATATACTTTTTTATATCAATTTAAGAGACACTTGGGTGACAAAATACTAATAACATTTAAAAACAAAAAGTTTTCATCAAACACTTAAAGTAGGAGTTAAGCTGTTCCCTCTTCTCTGGAGAGCTTTTGTCTGCTCATGGATGAACAGACTAGCTGTTACTATCCAGCATTTACTACTTTGATCCAACGAGTTTTGCCATTTATCTTGTCAGTGGGAGAGATTCTTCCCGCTTAAAAACATTACCGATACTTGGAAGGTAATTTGTAAGCCAGGTACTTGTTTTTAAATGTCTGGAGTCTATTTAATGGAGGCACAAATGGGATTAGAGGTGACATTGTCAATGGACAGTTGCTGGAGAGTGTGGATGTCATCGCATTTGACAGGCCATCTGCACATACTAAGCTGTTAACTCTTTCCTTCTCAAAACATCCTATGGTCCTGTGAAGGAATCATTATCAAAATCCTCTTTGGATTTCGAATCTTTGCTGATTCCCCAGGGAAAAACTGTCTTGCTGCTGTGTTTTCGTGCAAGTGGGGCAGTTGATTTTGATGGCACATTCAGCGTTAGACCTGATGTGAACCCCCAGCAGAGACAGCTAAGGATTTCTCTGGTTTCCGAGTGCCTTGCAGTGTGGCCTCACAGTCTGTGAGCGATAAGAATAGTTACCAAAAGGTTAAATCATTTCTTGTCACTTGGGAGGAATGCCAGATGGCATTTAGTGTGACATACGGGCACATGCAATGCAATGGAAAAAAAATAAATTTAAAGATGCAAGCAGAAGTCAATATCCAAGTCATAAGATTGAAGTAAGATTTAAGCTGCTTTTTCAATTTAACCCCTTCAACAGACTTTTTCCGCTAGTAGATATCCTGACACATGTGCTTTATTTCTTTCTGCATCTATGGAGTTTTAAATATTACAGCAAAATTTCTAATATATGTAACTTATATAGATGTAGTGTTTTTATAAGCCTAAAATTATAGGCTCAAACCCCGTAATCCTATGACTTGAAATATAATTAAATAGTGCAATTTTTCTGTCTCTTTAAAAGCTTAAACTAGTATTAAGCAGGCCGGCTTTCATTTCTTTGTGTCAGCTGACTAGCAGAACTTACTGTGTGGGAGGTGTATTACAGATTTTTGTCATTCAAAAGTCTTTCATATCTGCGGCAATGTCAGTTGCTTTAGTGTATGGAAAAAAAATGCAGTTAATTATTCTCTTTTACAAACAACATCAAACTTACCCGACATAGAAGCGAAGTATCCGTGCTAATACAAGGAGATGGCTGTGGAAGAGAGTTGTGAGCAGCTTTTGAATCGTCTCCTGTCTTGTAGCAGGAGACTTTAGAGGCCAAGGCCCCCTCTTTGTAAAAGCAGGTTGGAATCTTCAAGGGCCATTGGCCATCAGTGTCCGTGTCCTGGCATTCCTGGTTGTCACCTAGCGGAGTGTCTCGCTCCTTGGACTTCCCATCCATTGAGACAATATCAAAGGCAGGATGTTAAAAAACAGTGGTTGGCACAGGTAGTTCTGCTGCAGATTCCTGTCTGAAGTTCCCCTCCAGCTTCCAAAGGCAGCACCGTATTTGATTTTAACCCACTCTGGTCTGAACCTCCTGAGGTCGGAGGGATTTGTCTGCAGGCCCTGTGCCAAAACTTTCCACCTCCATTATCTTCTGTGCCATTGGCCATACTTCATACATAATATATAGTTCATCTATATTATCAGCTGGTGACAAAATATTAGTGGCAGAGATATTTTATACCAGTAGCTGAGTTGTGTGCTTCCTATCCGGAGACTTTTCAAATGGGCAGAATGATAAATTTTGTTGCTGTGTACAACCGAACAAAGTGTATTTTCTTGATGACTATTTTAAATTGTATTTCTCGTATTCAGGAGAAGCTTATTGTATAGCCACATAGCACATAAAATTAATACACGAGTGGTAATTATATTTAGTCCTGTAGACATGAATAATTGGACATTTCCTGTAATTATAATTCATCTGTTACTTACAAACTTAGAAAAATGACTGCTCAGCTTGTCAAGTGAGAAGTTAGTTTCTCACTATGGATAATTCATTACTTTTCCTGCACAATTCTTTCTTTTCAGCATCTGCTACTTGGTAATTTTTTTAGAGGAGTCTTTAAGTGTAATAGTTTATCACTGAAAACTGTGTAACCTAATCTCGTAGTCCTTTTTCCCAGGAATATTTACAGATAAACTTCATCTACTTGCTTTGTTTTCCTACTTGTGAATGTAATACAGATTCCTACTAATCTAAAAGATTTGGAGTAGTCTTATTGTTGGCCCAAGCAGCTTGTTTTCAGCACCAGTGTCTGGGAAATTTGCAAGGTAGATCTGTATTGCTAAAGGTTCATTTTTTGAAGCTCAGAGGGGAACTAGTTTAATTCCAAGAAAGAAGAATTAATATTCCAACTCATATAATCCATGCAGTGTGGTACTGATACAGAACTGATACAGACTGTTTACAGAGAGTCTTCATTTTCTTTTAGCCAAAAAATACATTGCTTTGGATGACTTTGTCGAAATTACCAAGAAGTATGCAAAGGGAATCATCCCGTCTAACCTGATTATGCAGGAAGAGGAAGATGATGAATTGGCAGGGAAGACTCCTGAAGAGCTACCCTTGCGACTGAAGGTAAAAAGCCAATAATTAACATGTTACATTGAAGGAATCTTAACACATGCGTTTGGACCCCAGAATCTGAAAGATTATCCAATTACCCTTTAAAGAAGCTTAGATTAATGTGAGTGTGAAAAAGAGGGGAAAAAAAAAAAGAGAGGGGGCAAAAGTGTTTTTGAGAGAGCACTTCACTCTCTGCACTTGATTCTTACAAATGAGTTATACCTTTCTTTAAGTCTGAGTGGAGTGACAGAGTCTGGTGTGGGAGCATCTCGCAAGAGCAGCTCTCCCAAGGAGTTGTCCACAGAGGAAGACTGTGTTATTCCGCCTGGGAGAGGAATTGCACCATCAGGCATCCCCACCCCATGCAGCCTAGAGGTTTTGCAGTCCCTGAGCTGGCACTGGAGAGGGACCAGTCTCCTCAGAAGCCTTTGAGACTGACTGCAGAGTCCCAGCAGGTTTATTCTGCTGCCAGACTCAGCCTTGCTGCTCACCCCTCGCTGCTTCACGTCTGACCTGCTGCTTCAGCCTGCGGGGCTGCGAGCCAGGTCTTTGTCCAGGCTCAAGCTGAGAGCTCTGCCTTAAAATTTACTGCTTTCACATGCATTAGGGATATATTTAAGGGAAAAGTGTAATGTAGTGTAATGTATTTTCTTGGAAACAGGCAATCTAACTTGGTTACAACTCAGTGAGGTTTTAAATGTTTCTATAACTGCCATATCTTTACTGCAGATGCTGTTATGTACTTCATACCCATTCCTATTTAAATAAGGATAAGTGGGGAAAATTATCCATGGTTTTGAGGTGTAAAAAGGTTTTATTACAAAGGAATTTAAGAGGGGTGGAACTGCTGTCAATGGTTTTCATACAGAGACATTTCTTTGGGCAGTGAAAGGAGAGGGGAAGATTTAAGATGCAGATGTTCAATACTGGTATAAATTTCAAGCAAAGTAGGGAATTTCTGCCTGCTGCCATCAGAGTTTTTATTGTCATTGATCTGCATTATCATATGAAGGGGAAAAGAGCACAAACAGTATGTTTGGCTGGCATTTTGAAAAGCTAATTATTCTGAAAGCGACATGTTTTGAAAGACGAATGGGGATCCCTCCCCAGTTCCTCACTATGCACAGACCTTTGCTATAGAGCAGTCTGGACTTGCCCCTTGAAGTAATGTGCAAAGCATAAGTTCTGGGAAAATGTAAAAACTGTCTTTTTCTGAGGTAGGAAGGGTTATTTGCAGTGTGCAGTTTTTGGATGATAGTATTTGAATATTTATGTGAAAAAGTCCTAACCCCTAGAATGTCTTTTATTATTATTATTCTTTTTGTCATTATTTATTATCTTTATTCTACACAGTGTGGCTGCTGGAGGATTTGATCCAACAGTTCCACTCTTGTCATGTTTCTATATAGGAAAATAACAGAGAAGAATTTTAAGGCCCTGTACAGTTACAGTTATAGGGTTAAAAGAATAACTATAATTAAATTACTACATAGGGAAAAGTTCTTCTGCTATTCAGAAAATACAGAGATTTTTGACAGCTGCCTCCATGGGGACTTGGGAAGGATTTTATTTAAATAAACCATAGCTGTAAAGACTTGCTGTAAGTGCATATAATAATGCAGAATGTATAACATAATCCTTGCAGAACTGTGGCAGAGTTAAGTGCTTTAAGCTACAGCACTCACAGCTCAAGTAATGACTTCAGATCGTACAGGAGTGCTGCCATGCAGTTTATCTTCGGTACAAAGCTAGCGGAGCAGAATATTTGACTAGGAAACCATTTAATTATATGTGTCAAAGGTAATGAAATATCTTCGTTGCCAAAATCAGAATAGCCTCTGAGCTTCATGTGACTGAATTAATCAAAAGAGAGCTAATAATCCCAGGCAAAGTAATCTCATTTTATTGGCAACATTCTTCTGAAATGAAAATCTTTTCACGTCAGCGGAGGTTAGACAATTTCCTGCTACTGTTTCAGCTAAGAATATCTGTGATGTACCGGGTACGAGATTGCTCATAAATAAAATGTCTCTTTTTCTTTTCCAGGTTGTAAAATACCCACTTCATGCCATTATGGAAATTAAAGAGTACCTTATAGATATTGCATCAAAGGCAGGAATGCACTGGCTGTCTACCATTGTTCCCACCCACCATATCAATGCCCTCATCTTTTTCTTCATTATCAGTAATCTGACGATTGATTTTTTTGCCTTCATTATTCCGTTAGTCATATTCTATCTGTCCTTCATTTCTATGGTAATTTGCACACTGAAGGTTTTTCAGGATAGTAAGGCCTGGGAAAATTTCCGCACTTTGACTGACTTACTGCTTCGTTTTGAGCCAAACCTAGATGTTGAGCAAGCTGAGGTGAACTTTGGATGGAATCACTTGGAGCCGTACGTTTATTTTTTGCTCTCAGTATTCTTTGTCATTTTTTCCTTTCCCATAGCAAGCAGAGACTGTATACCATGCTCAGAGTTAGCCACCATCTCTGTTTTCTTCACAGTGACAAGCTACATGAGCTTAAGCACATGTGCAGAACCCTACACACGAAGAGCACTAATAACTGAGGTAGCAGCTGGTTGCTTATCCCTATTGCAGGTATTGCCTGTGAATCTGAGCTACTTGAAATTCTTAGGTAAAACCTTCTTCACCCTTCCCGTAGGCCATTTCTTTGTGATCAATGTCAGCATCCCATGCCTTTTGTTCCTGTACTTGTTCTATCTTTTCTTCAGAATGGCCCAGTTACGGAATTTTAAAGGCACTTACTGCTACCTGGTCCCATACCTGGTGTGCTTCATGTGGTGCGAGCTCTCCGTGGTCATTCTGCGGGAGTCCTCTGGCATTGGACTCATCCGTGCGTCCATTGGTTACTTCCTGTTCCTCTTTGCGCTGCCAGTGCTAGGCGCGGGCATCGCCCTCATGTGTCTCTTCCATTTCTTTAAGTGGTTTGTGTCTCTGGAGCTCATGAAAATTGTCGTCACTCTGGCTTTGTGTGCGGTTCCTCTGCTCTTCCGATGGTGGACCAAAGCCAACTTCTCTGTAGTTGAAATGGTTAAATCCCTCACTCGGAGCTCAATTGTGAAGCTCATTTTGGTGTGGATTACGGCTGTCGTGTTGTTTTGTTGGTTCTATGTCTACCGATCAGAGGGGATGAAGGTTTACAACTCCACCTTGACGTGGAATCAGTATGCGTTCCTGTGCGGGCCCCGCGCCTGGAAGGAGACCAACATGGCGCGGACCCAGATCTTATGCAGCCACCTGGAAGGACACAGGGTGACTTGGACCGGGCGCTTCAAATACGTGCGCGTTACCGAAATCGATAATAGTGCAGAATCTGCCATCAACATGTTGCCCCTCTTCATCGGCGACTGGATGAGATGCTTGTATGGGGAGACCTACCCTCTTTGCGACCCCAAAAATGTGACTGTGGAGGAGGAGGAATTGTGTCGCCTTAAGTATCTGACAAAGCATAAGTGCCACATGAAAATGTTTGATCGGTACAAATTCGAAATAACTGTGGGCATGCCTTTCAGCAGCAAAAATGGAACAAAGTCTGTAGAGGAGGATGATATAACCAAAGATATTGTGCTGAAGGCAAGCAATGAGTTTAAGAAAGTGCTGCTGAACTTGAGGCAAGGAAGTGTAATTGAATTCAGCACAATTCTGGAGGGCCGCCTTGGCAGTAAATGGCCTGTCTTTGAACTGAAAGCAATCACTTGCTTGAATTGCATGTCTAAACTCTTACCTGCAGGGAGGCATGTGAAAATAGAGCATGACTGGAGGAGCACAGTGCATAAAGCCATTAAATTTGCTTTTGATTTTTTCTTCTTCCCATTCCTGTCAGCTGCCTAATGAGCTCTTATGTTGGTTCAGTAGCATCTTCAATGTACGTTGCATTTACACTACCAAAGGTTTGGCATTAAAAAAGGGGGAAACAAAAGTCCTGCTGTAGCAATGCTCAAAATGTGTGCTAACATAGAGCATTGGTTGAGGTCTGTAAGTGTGTATATTGTATCCTGCCTTTATACACCTTATGACTGAAACGATACATACTAGTTCAATATTACTGTAAGTGAATGCAGAGGATTGCTGCTGATTACTTGCATGGACACTCTCGTCTGAAGTGGACTTGTTATTTGCCTGTGGTGTAACACTAGATTCCTTCACTTGCTTGACGTTAAAAGCACTTTAAATATTCATACATGCCTATACATATTTTCAGGCCTGATTTAGAGCAGATATCTCATCGGCTGCATTAGCCCTTGTATCCCTTGTATTTATTTGGTGCTTTCTAGATAAAGGTGGTAGTAATATCGTCAGTACCTGGTGATGAGTAATGTCTGTGTACAGAATTCATTGTTTCACTGTTTAGCAAGATACAGTGTTTTTTGTTTCTTTTTTTTGAAAAGAAACACCATTTCACACCCCAGCAAAGCCCAGAAAGAGCTCTCTCATTTTCATTTTGATTAAAATATTCTTTACAAAATATGTTATTTGTTCTAATTGGTTATGATAGGTACATATATAACGCTAAGTTATTAGCCGTGCTGGTGTATGAACGACAAACACCAGATTGTAAGGCTGGTATTGTGATGGTGCCAGTAACAGACAAGCCAAAGTAACTGAAAATAGTACACAAAAAATGAATCTACAGTGGGAACTGAAGTAAAATGTGTTTAATGATTTGTATTGTGCAAATAAATTAAAATATGAACTTGAATTAAAATAGAATGCAGCATTTGTTCATTGTGCTTTGATATTGTGAGCAATTATTTGTTGCTTTCTTTTCGGTCTTTTTCATGTTTTAAACTTTCTCATATGAGATACTTGAAGTTGAACTTCATGTTATTTCCAGGTAGCAGTAAAATTAGAGTATATCAGGCCAAGTTCTAGTAGCTGTGAGAGCCAGAGATACTCTTTTGTCTTGCTTTCAATGTGACTTTCTACCTTTTTTTACCTAGTGGTTAGAAGAGTTGAGAATTTTGGATATACTTGAAACTATTTCAGTGAACACTGTTCTGTTGGTGGTAAACTATATCCTTTTGGTCTTTGCATTATCACTCATTCATTTTGAAAGTTACATGTGAAAACACATTTGATAGGGGAGACTTTTGGAAAAATGAGGCACCCGACTGCACTCCAGCTATTGGGAACCCCTTAGCCTTGACTTGGGCCTGCATTTTGGAAGAACCTGAAGGCACCAGGAAATGCCCTTCCCAGAGCCCACGTGGTCTGAATGTTCTTGAACTGTGGACCAGAAACCTTCACATTTCAAAACCACATAGTTGTGCTAGAGCCCATCAGGAAATCTATCTTTAGAATAGGGTGTCTGTGGGATGCTTATAGTTTTGTTGAAAACTTGAAACCATCTCTTCTTTCAATCTGAGAAAAAGAAATACTATAAGGCAGCAGGATACCTTTGCATACATTAGCTTACCTGATCTCCTTTTGGCTGGAAACAAGGAGCCAAACTTAACTTTTATCTTCTTTTCTTAGAATATTCATATGCTCTTTTAAAATACTTTCTGGCTCTGAAATGTGAATACAGAAGTTTTTTATTTATTTATTTTTGTTTGTACTCCGTTATGTGTAATATGTCTTCCAAACATATTTGTTTGTCGGAAGAAAGCAGAAAAAAAGCAAAACTAAAATTAAAAGTTGTTCCCTTTTTAACTTCTACTCTTTAAATAAGGAGGTCAATTGGCACACTGTGAGAAATTTTGAGGAATTTACTGCATATCTCCAGAAAGGGAAAACTGAATGAAGTCTGAGTAGAAAGTGTTGCAAAAGCGGGGAGGCTTAGTTCTTTTTAGTTCTTTGGAGATAGTTTATCTGTAGGATGAGACAAAAGGTTTAATCAAGGTACCTCAGTTTTCCATCCACAGCACACCTGTTTTTTTCAAGGTTTAATACAGAGAACTTTGGGATTTTTAGATTCTAGATTTTTAGGTTTAGATTTTAGATTTGTAGATCCTCCATTTCTGAGGGGGAAGGAAGGGATATTAGTAACAATTGTAGTAAAAAAAATACTTAAAATGAATAGTTATGTTGCTTTTAAAAACTAGGTCAAGATCTGTAGTTTTGCTTGAAACTGTGGGAGAGCCCATTGAGAGAAGGGACAGTTTAGTTTGATGGATGTTTCTTCTCAGTGAAGATGGAAAGCTCTTAAACTAGCATATGTGAACTCGTTATCCATCCACGTTCATGGTATTTCCAGCTCTTGTCTGCATCTGAAAGGAAAAGAGGTGAGTTTGACTTGAGAATCTTTAAATGCAGCCCTTTAATGTCCAGTCCTTTTAGTGCTTTTTTCTTTTTAATTGGAAAACAATGACACGTTGACACATGAGCAGCAACGTGATGATCTGTACTCCATTTTCTTGTCTGTCTTGCTCAGCATGCTGAAACCCTTGGCTAATCTTGTCTTTCTAACTCCTATCAATCACAAAATCACTAATACTTGACAAGCAATTGCAGTCCCAGGCAAGTTGTTTTTGCAGCGGCTGCTTAAACTTATCTTAAATCTTGCAGGCAAACGCTGAGCCTAACTTTGTCCTGCTGATGTATCCTACAGTTTTATATTCCAAAACAGTCCAACTTCTAGATTGGAAAGAGAGACAGGGCATGGCAACTGTTGTTAACTATTCAATTAATTCTACATTTATTATTTTCTTACTCAGTTTTGAAGAGATGCTGAATTTTAAATAGTTCCAAAAATAGGTGGCCTTTCTCAAGGCTGATAATTCTCTTTTGAATTAGTATTAATTAACTGAGGAGGAGGATATTATATAGTTATTGACACATCAAAATTAGGTACAGCTGTACTTCTCTAAAGTCAAATTTCAAATTTAGAAGATGTGCAAATAAAGTAAATATTCATTATGTGATTTTTTTTTCTTCACACCAAGTAGCATGAAAATGTACTACCTGTTCTCTGAACTGGTACATCATTCTGTAAAAGCATAGAGAAAAACATCAAATCACATACAGAAATTCTGCATAATTTAAGTGCCCACTCTGTAGTGACTAACAGCCTCCTGTGGCAGGCAAGGATGCACGGAGTTTATTACTTGTGTTTTGCCCAGTTCTAAAAGGGGGTGGAAAACGTGTCTGTATGAGTTAGATGCACTTTGCTTTCCTAGCACAAATTGGTCTTAAGTATGTAAAATAGCTATTACTAATTATAGATTTGTGGTTTTGTTTGTATCATATGATAATAAGAATATTACAAGAATATTGCTCTAGGGGTAGCACTGTGATTCTGCATATTACTTTTGGAGACCTTGAGCCCTTGACACAAAGCAGTGTGCCCCTTTCCAGCACACACCAGTGTCTGTTTTGACTTGAGGCTTTTCTCTTTCTGCTGAAAAAGGCAAAGTAAATTTCAGGATTTTAATTGTGTTCTTAATGCTGCCAGAGTTGTGTTTGGTAAGAAAGTGGTTAAGAGGAGAGAGGCTGTGATCACAACTTTGCCGTTAAAGCAATTTGAACAGTCAGCAGGTAGTCATTAAGGAAAAACTGCTTCTTAATGATTAAGTTAAGAAAGTACTAATCTATGCAGCAAAACCTAGGCAAAATTCAACAACTTGTAAATAGATATTAAACCTGCTCTATCAACTTCCTATATGCATACAGATGCTACCTATAGAGGAATAGAAATGATTAGAAACCAGACACCCAAATCAGATTGTCTATCTGCCTTACTTTAAGGTGGTTTGTTTGTTTTCTTTTATCCTAAATAAAATCCCTGTGCCCATGGAATCACAGCAGGAGGAGGAGACATCCTGCCCTCAGGACAAGATGGTGGCCGAGGCCGCCCGGCCTCTGCCCTGGGGCAGACGGAGCCCTTCTCCCTCTCACTAGCAGTTTAGCCAATGACCCCGAGGTGGAACATGAATTCCACTTACACTGCCTCACTTCACAATAGGGAAAATAAAACCGTGACATTGTGGTGTCTCCCAGTTCACTCCCTCTGTTCCTCCTGCCAAGCGGGCAGGGTTTCCCATGCTTGACTGCGGGCAGGAGGCTCCCATCTTCATCAGACACACAAAATGAAGACACGTTCCCAGGGCAGGGAGAACACCAGTAACTCCAGTATGACCTTGGGGCCTGGGCAATCGCTCAGTCCTCGCCTGGACGGACGCGCCCAGCCCTGGAGGCTGCGAGTGCTGTTGGCTGCAGGCCCTGCATGCAGCTCCCGGCTGCCAGTTCCCCTGGAGTGGATCCACAGGGACAGTCTGCTCCAAAACACCCACAATTTGCTCCATCTCCCAATTCAATGTGAGGAGAGGGGGCCCTATACACAGGTCTGTGCCTGCTGAAGCGGTGGGGTCTATGGTGAGAGAGGCTGGGTTCAATTAGCTCTGAGTTCTCCCAGCTGCCCCCATGAAGAAACTGGGCAAGGTCACACATAGAGGAGTCTGCTCCAGGGCTGCTGTCTCTTGTTATCCCAGTCCAGAGCTGCCAGTAATTCTCTTCTTGGAGAAAGCACATCTCTGAGGGGCAGCACTGCGGGTGGCCTTGCTGCTCTGGAAGGCCCAAACTCAGTGTTGAAGATGTTCCCTGTGGGGCCTCTGTGGAGCTGCCGCTGCCCAGGGCCGGGCTGAGCCCCAGCACCGGCTCTGGGCCACGTCACCGCACTTGCAGGTCTCTGGTCCCAGCCTGCAGCCCCCATACTCCTGTCTCTGGGAAGGAGTATTGGAGCCGGCTCTTCCTCCTGCTACACAGTGCAGGAATCTGACTCCTGGCAAAATTCTTTCTTTGCCGGTTTTGTATTAATCACACCCTTTTTTTCTAAGGCCTTAGAGTCTTCTTTTCCAAGTTGTCTTTAAATAATGGGAAACAGACTGTTAATTAGGAGGCATTCAGAGAGGAAACTCTCAGATGTCTTGAATTTCCCCATCACAGCCGGTCCTTTTGCACTGGTGGTGCAGAGAGACTCTGACCACGCGCTGCCCTGTGGGGTGCCCGAGGGTTCTGTGCAGTGGGTCACCCTTGGTGTTACTGTGGGGCTCATCACACCTCTACACCCGCCGTGAACGTTGGAGAGACAAGGAATGTGCTTGGAAAGCAAATAAAAAAATAGCGTAGAGCAGAGTTGCAGCAGGCTGCTCTTGGGAAGCTGTTTCTTGGTGCTGATCTGCTGATTTCACGTTTTATTGCCAAGTTTTAGCCGTGTTCTGTTTGTGCAGTTGGATTGCAAAGTCCACTAGACTTGGACAGAAGGGAATGTAAACGTTTATTCTTTACTAAGAATAACTTGCAGCAGACTCATACGTAATTAGTTGTGTGTGCACATGGTAGTCACAGTGTTGTCACCTTAAAATCTCGTGCCTGGGAAGTGGCATTTAACCTTCGTGATAGTAATAAAGCCCCAATTTTTAGCATATATATTAGAGCATTAGACCACAGATCTGTTGCTGTTTGTTG